TTTTAGATTATCACTATAGTGAAAGAGTTGTATTCAATCAATGAACAGACATCAGATATTCAATAGAATGACAGAACTCCAGAAAACAGAGTTGTTAAAAGAAAATAATAGATCAAACTCAACATTCAAAACATAGTAACCCAGTTAAAGTCTTCATTTTGTAGATATAAACTCTCAGGATAAGCACTCCATAAAAAAAAATTATCTATTTGTGCTACTGTAAAATGTAAGTGAATTTTCCTAAAGCCTCCTCAATCAGAGGGAACACATGCCTAATACTGTAAACCTAGCCAAGGACCCATGGCTAGAGAGGTCACAGTTCCCAGACAAGAATAGGTGAGATTAAAGCTGTGTTCTCCCCAGCTATCATATGTTATTCTAAGCTAATAAAGGACTTTATGTCAGAGCATTTATGTCCCAGAAATGAACACAAGTGTACTGAGCCACTTGTTGTACTCATTATATTCTTATAAATAATTCAAGGAAAAATATTTCAGTTGAGTGAAGACAGTAGGCTAGATTACACCAAGACAGTAGAACTCAAATTGCAATGGTGAGCCACCATTTGCTGGCATAAATTTAGAAGCCTGCTAATCAGAGAGGTTTACAATTCAGGAGCACAAGAGACATGTAATAAAAGTTGCACTCAAGGAATAGCTGACTTACTTACACCTAATGAGTTTTGAATTTCAATTAAACAAACAAATAACATTTTCTTTAGGGGTATACTATTTGAACTGTTCTTTATAACAAAACATATCACACTAATGCTGGTCTGTAAGGCATCCACACTCACCCTCTAATGCCCAATCCTGACCACTACATATCTATTTTCTTCCTACCTTTTTCTAGGCCATGGAGCACTAAAAGAGAAGTTCTCTGGACCATACTGATCAGCTACTAAACAAATATGTGGCCCCCTCTCTGTCTTGAACTCTTCCTGTGAGCAACTAACCTTACTACTCTCCTAAGCAATCAACACAAGCCAGGTTAGCAGGTCTCAGCAGGGAATCTAGCTGCTAAACTCCTTTCACAACAGAGTCTTCAGAAACACACTCCTCCACTCCCCACTTATCGGCCCTTTAGGAAAATATCAAATATATCTATTTGTCTCACTCCTCAATCCCCAGAACCCACAATCACATATGGGACATAGTCAGTGGTTAAGAAAACTGTTAAACAACTAAAGAAATGAATTTTTTTCTTTAGTCTCAAAATCATCTATATTTTTATCATAATCTTTACTTTTTTCCCACTACTTCAATAAAAAGGACTTCGGCTTTAAGTGTGAGTGATGGAAAGCTACTAGAAGGCTTTCCCATTTCAAACTATGACAATTCCATCACTCCAGTTTTGGGTATAAATGACATTCTTATATCATTCCAAACCAATGTACAATGGTGCTATAGAAATGGATTTCTCCTCTTAGCCAGCACAGTCCATTTACTCCAAAAAATTTGACCTTTCGCCAGGAGTGGGGGCGGGCACACACTTTTAGTTTCAGTACATGAGAGGCAGAGGCAGATGGATCTCTGTGAGATCGAGGCCAGTCTGGTCTACACAGTAAGACTGGGGCCAGCTGGGGCTATAGGAAGACCCTAACTCAAAAAGAAATTCATCTTTTCTTCCTATAAAGATGTTTTTCCCATTACAAAAGAAACAGACATTTCTAGAATTTACATCATGATGAAGTGATCCATCCTCTTTTGCTTTAGCTCACCATCAAACTTGTGCTTTGCAAGTAGCATATGTTGCTTCATCTTCCTTACTTTCAAATTACTCATGTGCCACTGATTTTTGGCTATGTTCCCATTTCATTAACACTGCTCTTGGTAAATCCACCAATAGCTGCCAAATTTAAGTTCATTTTCTTCCTATTTCACTGTCTCTTCCTTCTCAGTTGCTTTTGAAAGTTCTTCACATTCCCAACCATGTCACTTCAAGGTACATCAGGAGGGGACCATCTAATGGAAGCTATCAACTGATAGAATATAAGGTCGGTTGGGGGACTGTGAAAGAAAGAAAGAAAGCCATCAAAAGCATTCATTAATCCTAGCTTGAGAAGTGACAAGATAGAGCTAGTGTTAGCTAATTTGACAAGTTTGGGTAGATATTAAATAACTTCATGGAATGGAATTCTTTTAGATTTGATGTTTCTAAGAGGACTTACATGTATTTTCTTTCTATATTCATTTAAAAGAATATTATCTAGATGCATAATTTTATAAACCATCTACATTTTCACAACACCTGATCTGCTCTTTCCACTCTGACTGAATTGCTGACTTATATCTGCAATGGCCCTTTGACATTTCCATTTGGCTAGGCACCTCCAGCTCAACATGTTCAACCATGAGGTCTTGCTGGTCTCCTCACAGCCTATCTCCAACTTCATCAACAAAATTCCATAATCTACAAAGCTTGCAATTATCCTTGACTCCTTGACTGAACCCTGTATCCAGCTCTCCAGCAGATCATATTGATTCTACCTCCAAACAACCTAAACCCAAATGTGTCTGACCAGTCTCACACCTGGTCAAAGCCACCAGGATTACTGCAACAATCTACTGATTTTTCTCTACTTTCTCCCTAATCTTCCAGACTTCTCACTACTCAACAATCAGAACGAACCTGTTTACATGAGATACTGGATGTTCCTCAAAAGTTTCTCACTCAAGACTGAAAGCTGAAGTCTTCTCAATGAACCACGGAGTCCCATACAATCTGATCTCCCTTTCCTTTAGACTTCATCTTGTCCTTACTCCTCCTTCCTTCACTCTGCCTATCACAGTCTTTACTGCTCCCAGACTGCCCCTAAAGTGCTCCTGCTCAGGGATTTTATAGTGGCTATTAACTGTATCTGGAATGCTTTCCACCTGCAGGGCTTCTCTCTGTCAGAACTGTATCCAAATGTCATCTTCTCAGTGAGGAGATCCACTCCTCAACTGACATATGACATATTTTACTGATCTACTTACATGGTAAGAGTGATTGACTGACTAATGTCCTTCCCTAAAGGTAAGCCCCATGAATGTGGGAACTCTTGTCAATCCTGCTTACTGCTTGCTACATTTCCAACACAACAGTGAATGGCTGATTATGTGGAAAGAGGGACGGAATGAAGAATTTTTTGAATTAATAATCTTAAAATTTTCTCATTCAGAAGATATTTTACAGCAGTGAAAGTTATTACTACCCGTTTCCTCTAAAACAGTTTCACCTGATGCTTTATAAGAACAGTCTCTGCCCTGAAAGTTCAGTACCTTTCCACAATGGTAGGACGATCACCCCACACTTACCCCCTCCAAGGATCAGGGACTTTTCTGGAAGAGGTTGGCAGAAAGAATGTAAGAGCTGAAAGAAGGGGTGGAGGGTTAACTGGAAGCGTCCTCCAACCACTAGGCCAGCAAGCTATAGTCATAGTTCCTTTCCATGCTCATCAAGGAGTCGAGGAGGGAGTCAGTTACCCCTCCCACCCAATCAGGCAACCTTAGCTGCAAGTGGGGGAGGGACTAAGGCTATATGAGCCAAGAATGCCAAGAGGCACCTCTCTCACCATTTTATGTGGCTGTCAGGAAGTCACAGGATCTATATGTGAGTGTGGACTTTCCAGTGCAGCAGTAAATGGGGGGGGGTACCCACTCTTCTGTAAATAAACCCCCACCCTATGCTCTGTTAGCAAGCCCAATAAACTTGTTAGGATTAAAAAAGAAAGAAAGAGAAAAAAGAAAAAACAAACAGTCTCTGCTATTCCACCTCTGTCTCTCTGGCCTTCCTAATTTGGAAGTCCTTTTCCCACTATCTGTTCCTTGCATTCCTGCTGATGTTTCTCGAATTCAATACTCAGCCTGTTCTCATTCTTCTTGCTCCCATGGATTACTTCATCCATCGCCATGAATTCAAACTCACACTCACATTAATGACCCCTAAGTATTTCCCTTTAATATCAAAATAGCTCCAGAAGTAGATCTAAATTTCTAAAGC